AAAATCATTTATATTTATAATTATTAATTAACTCATTAGCAAAACCGAAACGAAAATTTTTGCAAGGGGAAAATTTGAAATTATCTCAGGAATCTCCAATTATTAAATTATGTTCCTACATTTTCGGGATACTTTGCGAAACATTTATCGCTACAGATAAATAAGTCGAGATTTATCACCAATTAACCCCCTCTATAATTCTCTGAATACTTTAAATTATTCCAAAATATTTATCGAAAGAAAGATTTCATTTTGATTCAATTACGACAAAACTAAACGAAGAGGGAAAAGGATCAACTACGTGTCAAATTCGTGTAACAATTCTTCTAATTACAATCAAAGACAATCAATTTGCAGAAGATTCCGTGTTCACCGGAAGTAGTTGAAAAATGGATCGCGAGTCCGCTCGAACCTCGCAGAAGCAAGCAGAAGGCGCGAAGTTTCGAGGATGGGGGGGAGGAGCAGCATTTTGTATCGGGCACGGGATAAATCGACGGGAGACAACGAAGAGAAGAGTTGCAAAGATGCGTCTGGCACCTTGGTTTTTTTTTTTTTCTTTTTTACTACGACGTAAATGCAACGAGGACAAGATTACACTCGCACAGGTTGGACGCATTTCAAACATGGCGGTGTAACGCGCACACGCGCGCCCCTCGTCGATCAATACCGTACTAGCATAGCACGTTGCTTAATGTCAGTTCTCGAACTCCTTCGAGGCTGCCTCGTAATCGTCAAGAAATTTATTCGAAATGCGACCTCGCTTCAACGAGGAACGTTTCGAGCAGATAAACGTGGAGGAAATTAAATTTCGCGTTCAACTATTTCCATTTTGTTGTAAACTGGGAGGACGTTTGCAACAGTGGATAATATAGATATTGCATTACTATTTCGAATTAAAACGTAAACGTAATAAAACTATGATTGCTGCTTACGCCTCTGTCAATTTATTTGTAAGAAGCTATTATTATTTTTTTCTATTGTTATTATTATTTTAAAATAACAATAATATACAGGGTGCTCGTTTAAAAACTTCACATCGAGACAGCTCGAAAACAGATTGTCAGAGAAGATTTTAAATTTACAACTTCACAGTTTCAAGGAAGTATAGCTATTTTAATATTTTTTTAACATTATTTTTTATTTATCGCTCGTAACTTTAATTAAAGATCAATTTTATTTTTGATTTTTCCTGAAATATAATTTTCGAGATTATTTAGATATTTTAAAGTATATTTAAAATAAAAGTACACAATTTGATTTTTGATTCATTTTAACTTTGCGACGATCTGAGAATCGAATTTCAAATTTCTTAATTAAACAATTGCACAATTCGTTTTAGAATTACACTTTTATTCGTTATTTCATTAATTCCACTCCCATTGTTAAATTCATCGTTTTTCGTACATTCTATATTCATTTACATAAATATAAATATCTCCGATAATATTCGCGAAATTATCTTCACAAACCACTGTTATTTTTCGATTCAGGAGGAAAGTGGAAACATTCGTACGAGCTCTCGTCCAAGACAATCAAATTTCCTCCTATTAGCCAAGTTCGCGCGACCACCGCGGTTTTGTTTAAAGAAAAAACGCCGCTGTTCACGCAACTGTAAAACAAACATCGAGTCAACGCTCGGTTCGCCCGTGCAATGTTTTTCTCGTCCCATCCTGATTTTTCCGTTCTTTTCGATTCGAGTACGGAGAGATAAACAGATAAAAAAAATCGTAACACTGATTGCATATGTGTCAAATGAAGGAAATTTCGCATTGGCCATATCTATTTCGTGAATAAATTAATTATTAGATTTCTCTTTAATAGAGATTTGATATTGGAAAGGAAGGAAAAAAAAAAAAAAAAAAAATGGACAATTTGAATTTTAATTAATTCATCTTGAAAAACATTTGTTGTTAATAATATTGTTGTATCACACACGAATTATTGATTATGTTCGTTAATCGAATAATGATTATTTATAATCGTTAAATAAACATTAATTAATAAAGTTTAACGTTCTGTCTGAAAAATTGTACCTAAGTTATCGACGATGGTAAAAAAGCGTGACTAGTTGAATCAATTTGAAAATAAAATTTTATTAGATTCCGTAAGAAGGGAAACAGATTGAAGAGAAAAAAATTTTTCTCATTAAATTTTATGTCTGTCTCTAAGAATCATTTAACTTTTTGTTCGGCGAAACGATTTCTCGAAGATATTACTTTCGAAGATACCTTCGAACAGGTCGATTTGAACAAATCACACTGTATAAACCAACTATTCAATCGAGAGATAAGATTCATCTCGAGAGCATTCTATCTCATTTTTCAAAGGCGAGCATGATTTTTCAAGTGGCGGGAAACGGCGCTGGGCCGTTTACTCGTGCGTTACCACGTTTCTGGAATTAGAAAACGTGACGGATAAGTGGTAAACCGAGTGGCCCTCGAAAAAGAGGAGTGCCCTTGTCGAGAGAAGAAACGTCGAAAGAAAGAGAGAGAGAAAAAGAGAAAGAACGAAAAAAGAAAAATACCGGAGTAACAAAAGAAAAGAAGAACAGAGGAAAGAGGAAGAAAAAATGGGGAGAGAAAACGAGGAGTTTCTTTTCGAGAAGAGACGCGAGAAATAAAAAAGGAAAAATATCAAAGCAGTGAAATAAATAAGAGAAAGGAAATAATAAAAGGAGAGAGAAAGAGGGGGTGAAAGAAACACCCAGAAATAAAAAGAAATAATAAATAAAGTAAGAAAAAGTGGAAAGAAGAAGAAGAAAAAAAAAAAAAGAAAAAGATCAAAGAAATGAAAATGAGAAAAAGTATGAAAACGAGAGAAAGGAGGAATCGACGTTGGTACCGGAAACGAGTTGCACGGTGAACGTGGCGTAAATACGCGACATCGTGCTCGAAATGCATATCACACAACTTCTCCCTTTGAAATCTCGCTCGAGAAAGAAAGTAAGACGAATTACGAGCTGCGGAAAAGAATAAACCATCCATTTGCGCGGCTCGTGTCGCGTTTTATCGTCTTATTTTCGAGCGTTCTCCGGTATTTTGCGCGCCAACGTCATTTCTTGATCGTTTTACATTTTTACGATCTCACTTTAACTCGGATTAGACTTTATATTCCTTACAATTTTTCTTTTTTTAGTGTTAATATCAATATTTAATATAAAATGTATTCTTTCATGGGATTATATAGTCAGTCACAAAATTATTGAAATTTTGTGTATACGTAAATCATAATGGGTTGCGAATAGAAAAATTTTTATCGACGAAGATTTTCTGTGTGAAATAAAAATTTTAACATTTTTTAAATTTCGGGAGGAAAAAAATTTCATCTGGAAATATTTTTCACAACAGATTGATGATAGAATTGTTAAAAAAAAAAAAAAAATAAACTTTTCACGATTTAATATTTTGCTTCGTCTCGTACAAAGTTATATTTGAAAGAAAAATATAAAAATGTAAATGTATCGAAAATTTTAAGCGTTGATTTCATCCCTGATTTCTTGTGAGATTCAAAATGATATTCCGTTAAAAAAAGAAAGCCACGATCAAATCATTACGTTTCAAATAATTTTTTAAAATTTAAAATAATAATAATGATAAAATTTTTGTAAATTTTAATAAAAATAAATTAATAAAGATACATTACCGAATACGAATGAATGAATTGAAATAAAATATCGAACGGTTGAACCGCAAGAGAGTCTTCGTCTTTCGAAGAACGTAATAAAAGGTAGGCGGAGCGCAATTGTTCGCTCGAATTCACGAATTTCGCAGATTTCAATTTTCAGGATTTATCGATGTGAGACAAAGAGCAGAATGAAGTTTGAAATTGAAAGATATTTTACGTTACGAAATCTCATTAAATAAATTCTGTTTTATTTTATTATTATTTTTTTTTTTTTGCGAATAATGCGATATCGAAAGTTTATTATTTTTATTCACTTTGAGTTATTTATGTTTTAAGTAAAAATTTCATCCTTGAAAAATTCCTTCGAAAAAATTTTTTAAACTCTTGATTGAATGAATGATTATACACCGAGGTGAAAATTAATAAATATTTCAGAATTTTTTTTAAATTTTTAAAATAACTGTAGATACAAATGACTTAGATTCGTTTAGGAAAAATATACTTGCTCATAGAGTTAGAAGATTATGGATATTTATTGTATTATTCTTTGAGGATTATTTTTTAAAAATTATATACACTTCGAAGAAAGCAATTAATAAATTGGATTTGACAGAAATATATTCGGAAAGAGTATTATTATTTTTTTGACAGTTTAAAAGTCGAAAAGTTTTTACAGACGTTGAAAGGGATTAATACGATGATAAAAGTTGTGCCTTCCTTTTATTTGAATTTCAAAATTCGGTCAAGGAGACTCGGTTCTTCACGAACTTCGACTTCTTTTACTTGAAGTAATATTCATGATAGTTTTGTTCCATTTAGTAAATTAAAATTGATATTGAATTTAGTAAGGATAAAATCATCGAAATTTAACATTTTAAATAATTTTTAAAGATCAATGTAATAAAAAATAAATTTAAAAAAATGTCAAAGGGAATATCTTCGTAATTTTTATAAAAATTCAATGATTACGGATTAGAAAAGAGATTTTTTAGCATGTACAGTATTTCTTATTTTATACAAGCATTCGAACCAAGAATAAATATATCCTAAAAATTTATTTGAGCTAATATGAGACTATATTAACATTAACATAATGTAATATATCCTTCTCTAACACAACAATTCAACAACTAATGAAAATTTAATAATATAAAACAAATATAACAAATCATAAAAGAAGATTTGTAAGTTTTATCATTTTAATAAAATTAAAAATATCATATATCTTTATTCAAAGAAGAAATTTACACGTTCGTATCTCTTTCTGGAATGAGAAATATGAATTTATACTCACAACAATAATCAATTTAATTTCCACAAGTTCGTGATCATATTTAATAACAATTTTAAATTAACAAAAACATATATATATATATCTTTATATACGAAGATTTTATTATAACTATATTATAAATAAAAAAAAACGATTAAAAATTGCACTCACCCTGGTTGCACCTTTGCCTCGACCTCTCCCCCTTTCTCTGAACGCACCCTCGCCCGTTTGCAGATGGTAGAGATGCTGAAACACGACCGAAACTTTCGTTAGCCACTATATATCGTTATGTGCCGCGCTTATAGATCGTTGCCGCGCGCGATCGATCGCGAACACGAACACGATCGATTTCGCAGTGATTTGAAACCGCGAGATCGCGGTCCCCGGTTGCTTTCGGATCGTTATCGTTCCGACGATGTACTATCGTAAAATCAAGGCAACCGTATCACCTCAATTGACCTCGTTAAGCCCAATAGACGCGCCAATAAAAGTATAACCTTCCAGGGCCAGCGGTATTAGATTAGATTCTCGACGACAAAACGTTTTAGATTATTCCGGGGCGAAAGATGGTTGGAGATTGCCGCCCGCGGGCCCGATAGACGTTCGATCGACTCGAACAGAATTAACGAGACATGACCGGGGATAATTGGAACCGAGAGATTGGCCCGCGACCATCGTGAAAATTCGTTCTCGTTTAACCGAGGGTGATATCTCATTTTTCCTCCTGTTTTATCCTTTCCGTTGTTTTCGCCTCGTTTTTATCCTCGACTTCGATCGTTTCGTAACACTTCTCCATTAATATTCTTATCGGTTATTGTCCGATCACTTTCTTTTTTCCGCTTTATCTCTTGCTTTTTGACCTTTCGCGTTTGTTTGCCTTCGTTTTTTGCGTTCGCGATTTTATTATACACGAGAAAGTTAATTAGCGGGGAAGATGGATTGTTCTTTTTCTTTCTTACGGAGGATTGGGAAACGAATAAGGGAATGGTGGGTATTCGGGCCTCGGAAGGTATGGATGCGACTTGGGAATTTTAGTTTTCGGTTTGAGGAAAAACGGGTAGCATTACACGATCGGTAAAATATTATGTGGATCGTTGTTTGAAGTACGTTGTTGTTAATATTCGGTTGCGAGAGAATAAAATATGAAAAAAATATTGTACGATAATGCAAAAGAGAAGAGAAAAAATGGATTTTTTTTTCGAATCTTTAAGTAAAATAAAGTAATCGATTCTTGTCGACAGTTGTTCAGTGCAGAAATCTGTGTTACCATTCAGAACCAAGAATTACTACTTTCCGAGCACATTCATAGATGGCGCTTGCAGTAGATTTAATGGTGTTTTTCTTGGACATATCGCGGGAAGAATTTTGAAACAAGCTTTACGATACATAATCAATGAGATCAGAAATATAAGTTTAAATCAATTATATAATTTTAAATATGCGTAATAAATTGCTTACGTTCAAATATTCAAACGAAACTAAGTTATATAAAATTATATTATGTAAGTGATTAGATAGTAATTTATAAAATGGATCAAATATAGTTTAAGTTAATTGAATAATTTCAAATTAAATTATATTGGTTATATTTACATGAATAAATTGCATATAGAAGTACAAGCAGACTTACAAAGTAAAAGCAAGAATATTAAAATTAAAAAAATAATTAACTTTTAACTTGAATTGTTTAATTGTTTAAATTCTTGACAAGAATTTTGCATAAAGCATAAACTCTTGCTCATATACCATACATATACCATACAATTCATATATAAAATCACATAACATAAATGTGACATAAATTTATATAAACATGCAGCATAAATGATCAAGCTCACAAAGAGAATTACTATTCGAGTAATAACGAAACGAAAAACGAACGAACGAACGAATTCATTCCTCGAGATGTAGAAAGATGCGACAAAATGACGAAACAAAACGCAGATAGAGGAAAACGCGTGAAAACTCATCGTACGAGCCTCGTCCAAACGAGAGATCCGCGATTGGAATCTTCCTGAAACCGTCTGCCTCGCGGACGGGGCATTCATAAAAGAAGGAGGCAGAGAAAGAGAGATGCCTGCGTGGTCTGGAGCGAGAGAAAAAGCGAGAGGTGGTCGTGAGGAGGTGCACACTCGGAGGAGCGAGCGGATCACCGCCGCGCGAGTGAACATCGAGGTCCAAGGCAGGCGGAAAACGTCCCCTTCGCGCGGCACACGCGTCGACGATTATGGTCTAATTCCCTTGTACGCGCATTCCCACCAACCTACCTAGCTTACCTACCAACCTACCTGGCCGCCTCGCATGACAGAACCGTCTTGGTGAGCGAACGAGGAAAAGCGTGGTTGCCGGTGCATTCGATAAGCGTACGCTCGAAAGACAGGGGTGTGCTCCCTTAATTCCATATCTCTCCCTTCCTCCTCCTCCTCCTCCTCTCTTCCTTTCTCCGCATCACGTCCAACCACTTTTCACCACCCCGTTTCACATACTCTCTCTCTTCCTTCCTTCCTTCCTCTCTCTCTCTCTCTCCNCCTCTTCTCTCTCTCTCTCTCTCTCCTCCT